CCGCCACAAAACTGAACAAAACCATGTGGGAGCACACTTCTGATGGGAGAGGGGAGCAGTGGGTGCTGAGCAAGAGGAGGTAAGTGAGGGGAGGGGAAGTCCTGAGGCCTGCCCTGGAGTCTCCTCACTGCCAGCCTGCTGGGCAAAGCCAGAGGGGCCACTTCCAGGGCCAGCGTCACCCTGCCTCACCTGCCTGTATCCAGGTCCAGTACCAGACACTAGATGCTTTTAAACCATTAAACCAAAAACCCACATTCACTGCCAACAAGCTGATTCCAACTTCTGGCAATCCTCCAGCACAGCCTTGTAGGATTTCCAAGTATCGAAATACTTGTGAAAGCAGACTCCGACTTCTGTCTCCCACAGATTAACCACTGTGCCTCCAAGGCTCCCTTGTCTGCGTAGATATCGCATAGAAAATCGTCTTTTCAATGAAATGTGTATAACATATCCAAAGAAACTTTCTGTCAAATACTAGGCATTTCTTATCGTTGGACTCTTACTTTTCTCCCCACGATTAAAATGGCTTTATTTTCTGGTTATGTGGAGTTTGTAGACCTTCTGCAAATAGAGGAATGTAATCTCAGTGTCTACTTGATGGCCAGACGTGCAATAGTTTACACAGTAATTGGACAGGAAATTGTGTTCTCGCTTTTAGAGAGACAGTGAATCAGCTGGAGGTTTCTCAGATGACTCCTGTAACTTTCCATCTGCGTATATAGCGAGTATATATGAAGGTGTGAGTGACAAGGACCCCATTCTTTATTACTTCTTATCCTAACCTCTCTGAAACCATGATCTGATGGGACTGTCTGTCCTTTCTTCTCAGCCATGTGTCTATATCCTCCTACTGACTTTGTGTATTTATGTGCTAAAGATACAATAATGGCAAGCTACTTTTATTATTAGATTAAAAATATATATGCTGTTAACAGACAGACAGGAAGGGACTATGGAGTGAACCCCAGAAAGACATTCAGTGGTTCTTAAACCCCATCCCTGCCTTATTCATCTCATTCCTTACACAGCTGGAGAATTGTTTTCTACACTTAAATCCTTTATCATTTTTATATACAGTTTTACAGTAATATCTTTTCTTTATTTTTGAGACACATTCAGGTTATGTGTGTCTGTAAACACACACATACACACACACAGTTGTTGTTGTTGTTATGTGTCATTGAGTTGACTACGACTCATTGTGACCCTTTCAACAATAGGTCTGCACCTGCCCTATCCTGAGTCAACCTCACTGTGTCTGACCTACTTGCCCCCATTGCCACTGTCACTGTGTCAATCTCTCTCATCTAGGTTCTTCCTCTTCTGAACTGTCCCTTCATCCTTCCGAGCATGATTTCCTTCTCCAAAGACTCATCCCTCCTGGAAGCATGCCCGTAGTATGTGAGACAGAGTTTAAAAATCCTTGTCTCCAAG